AAAAGTTCCATTAAAATACAAAAAAAAAAAAAAAAAAATGCAATCCACAAGAGAAATGGTGGTGAGGTGACTCAGAGCTGCAGGAACCGGAGGAGACTGAGCAGTGTTCCTTCGTGAAGTGGGACGGGTCCAAACATATGGTACAAACGTCTGCGTGAATGACTATTGCTTAATACTGTGGCAGAAACCAAAAGTACCCCTTGAACTTACTTTTTCTTACTGTCTTTTTTGGCAGTCTTTTCCAAAGCGGCTCTTCTCCTCAAGTAGTCATTCTGAATTTCGTTGTATTTCGCAGTGTGTTCTTTGATAAGGTCAGTGGTTTTCTTGTGATGCCTCTTAACCAAGTCTTTCATTTCTTTGTAGTGCTTCTTCTGAAGTTTCACAAATGATTTCTGTTGCTTTAGCTCCTCGATGGTCTGCGCCTCCACTTCTGCAATAAACGAGTACGAGAGCTAAGGAAACAGAAAGGCTGAAAGTCCAGGTGTAAAGAGGGGAAGCTGATATAGGAAAGTGGACCCCCAACCTGGGGTCCTGCCTGGAGGCCAAATGGGTTCTTGGCTTCATGCAGGAAGGAATTCAAGAACGAGTGGATATAGTGAGCAAAAGAAAGTTTTCTGAAAAAAAGAAAAAAGAAAAGAGGCCACCCCACAGACAGGGCAATGGCCATCTCTGAGAGCAAACAAGTAACACTTTGTGAGTTTCTTGGGTCTTATTTTATACTTTCTATTTAATTTTATGTTAAATAGAGGGAGGATTATTGGTAAGATTTCTGGGAAAGGGGTGGGGAGTTCCTAGAAATCTTATCCAGGAGTTGTCATGGCGATTGTAAACTGTCACGGCAGGGTTGGGAGTTTCTTTTAGTTTGAGGATACATTGTAAGCAGGGTATAAGGAGCAGAGAGGGTACACTGAGGTTGATTTTCTAGGTCATCTGGATTCTGTCTGGCTGGTGTTGGCTAGTTTGGGTCTTACAACACCTTATCAAACAGGGCCTGACATTTCCCTATCTCAAAGCCACCAGCTTATTAAGTGACATCTGATCTTGGCCACCAGGAGCATAAGAGCAGATTTGATGTCAGAGATAGCTGGGTTCCAGTTTGGCTCCATCACTTGCTAACTATGCAAATATGTCACCAAAAATTCTCAAAGACCTGATTTCTTCATTGGTATTCGGGTTGTTGTTGCTGCTAAAGTCTGTGTTCCTTAGAAGCAGAACCCAGACAGGGATTCAAGTATTTGGGTTGTTGTTGCTGCTCAAGTCTGTGTTCCCTAGAAGCAGAGCCCAGACAGGGACTCAGGTACACGTGATTCACTGAGGGCCTCTCAGACTTGGGGAGTGAGGGAAATGGACAGGGTTGGGGATGGAGCTTTGCAGTGTGAGCTGTACTGACGAGTAGGGCTCATCTTGAGGCTAGAAGCATTATTTGTGCAGTGGCTAGGGGAGCATAACCTTCTGGAGAGGGGGCTTCCTTGGCTGAGGGTGATTTTGCAGAGAATGGGAAGCTCCTACGTGAGATGGCAGCTCAACTCTCCCACTGTGGGAGACGGGTGCACCAGGTGTGCAGAGGTCCCAGCAGGTTGCCAACACATTGGTCACCAACACATATAACGTCTACTACTTTATAGGGTTGTTATGATGATGAATTAAGAAGAGTGCGTAGAAAGTATAAGTATTTAATATATTTTCTGGCAATGTGCCTGGAGTGTTTCAGCAAATGACTGTGCACCTTCTCCATGGGGTTCACTGGCGTTATAGACAGTGTAAGTTTTATCACAACAGTACACAGCAAAAAGTGTCTTGAGGGAAGAGTCCTTAATCCGATTTGTGCAAAAGCACCGGCAGGGTTAGTGGCAGCCTACATTACTGCTGCAGTGTTTCATCAGATGCTGAGAAAACTTTAAATGTGACGGAGCCTGACTTTAAAACAATCTGCTTTTTACTGATGTATTTCATGAATTTTAGAATACGCATTTTAAAAATATGTTAACATTTCTGAAATCAAGACTCATCTTGCAGGTAATGACTGTCACACTGAGTCCTTTTTCTTTTTCCTAGCAATACATGAATTGTGGAGTGCCTTACAATTGAGGGTGTCTTAATTTCCATAAATTATCACTTATTGGGACCTACATGAAGTTGTAGTTCACAAGTTTCCATCCTTTTATTTCTGCTTCTGGGAACAAAAATATATTTCCATAAATATTATTATAAATATTTAGAACTGCCAAGAGATTCATAAATAATATATGCCAGGAATAATAACAGACTTGAATAGAAAATGAGATGTCTGCTGAATACACACTGAAGTCAGAATAATAACTTAGGTTCTTAAATGCTAAGGTCTTTAAGCAATTGAAATATGTTTCCTTTTCTTATAACCTGCCCATTCTCCTGACACTCAATTTCTTTTGAGAATGAGGCCACAGAGAAAACCGGGCACATTGATTTAATGACTTCCCTCAGGCCCAAATTGACTCATCCCGGTGGCATAATAAGTTACCATATTAAAAATTTATAATCCTAAGGAATTGCTGCATTCTTGGCGACAGATTTCATTCTACTTCTTTTTTTCTCTCTTTTTTTTTCTTTTTTTTTTATTGAATGGTAACTAGATTCCACTTCTTTAAATATGGTTTACAGTATATCAGCTACGAGTAGTTTAGAAATAGGGTTTCAGGTGTTCTAATCAATGATAGAAATGATTCCGCAGAAAGCAGTGTCTTTAAAAGTCTATAGATGAAAGACTGTTACTTAGAATATGCTGTGAAGTATAAAGGCCATTTACATAAAGACACAAATATCACGTATAAATAAGCCACCCAGAGATAATGCGTTGCTATGGACAATTGCCTTTTATGTATTCATTTGCATACTTAAAAAAAATAAATCTCTTGTTTTTATTTTTTTTTATTGTTTGTGATTCATTGAGGGTACAAAGAATGACTTTACACTGATTGCAGTTGTTAGGTAGAGTCCCTCTTGTAATTGTGTCCTGTCCCCAAGAGGTGTGCCATGCCCTGTAACCCCCCCATCTCCTTCCCCATTTATATACTTTTAAATAACATTTGAATCAAGTTCTATGAATACTTCTGACTCTTGTTTTATGCATTAAGGTTGTACTATTTCCTACGGAAATAAATCTTTAAAAACATGTTTCATTTCCTTTTAATACATTCTCAAGTAATTTTTCTATGCGTATTTTAGATTTTTTTCTTGCAAAATAAAAATGCATATATAAAAGTTCATAAATCTTAAACATATAGGCCTATAAATTTTCATAAAGTTCATGGACTTCAAGACCAATCCCCCAGGTCAAAATGAGAATATTGCCAACACCCCGGAAATCTTCCACCCTAGTGCAATCAATTCTGGTTTCTAACAACACAAATTCATCTTGCCTGCCTGGGAGTTTATGTAGATGAAATGCCATGGAATGTGTTCTTGTGGCTTCATTTCCTTAACATTATACTTGTGAGTTTTATCCATGTTGGTGTGTGACTGTAGTTTATTCCTGCCTCAGCATCTTATTCTATTCTGTGAAAATACCACAATTTATGTATCTACCTCATTGCTGGCAGACACTTGGTTTGCTTAGATTTTGGCTCTTAACCAGTGGTGCTGCTTTGGGTGAGCCTGTGCGTACATGGCTGTTGTGTGTTGGGCCCGGTTTTATAAACACTTCCAAGGCTCCACTCCATGCTGCTAATTGTACTGCAGAATGCTTGTGCCAGTTTTAGTTCCACTAATTTACATAACAGACCAAATATAAAATACTTCTAAATTGTATCACAGTTTTTATGCACTATGCATGTTACCATCGTAAATGGATCCTATTCTGTGTATCTAAAATATGGTTCATTGTTTGGACTTTGAGAAACATGTCTTCGTGTTACTGGGTTACATTTCCAGCATTAAACTATTCTTCCACTCCTAAATAGTTCTCTTAGGAAACTATATTACTTTTTATGCCAGTAAGGTCCTGCTTTACCAACTACAGTTACTTCTCTGTGATTATATCATGTAACGTAGACCAAACCAGCTTTATACTTTTTAAAGAAGAAATACTAATGATGTTATTGTTCAGATATGAAAGGGAATCTCCTTTCCTTTGTACATTTACACTGCGTAATATTCAGCTGGCTGAGTCAGTGGGGGAAAGAGGTAGCATTTACCTGTTAAGACACTCTGAATAAGGTCTTCTGTTTTGGCAGGTGCCTTTACTGAACCTGAAAAAAAGGATAAAACAGTCTTCTTTAACTTTTAGAATTGTATTCTATGAAAAGCAAAACTAAAATCAAACAGAAAAAGACCATGTTTGACCCTTGCGTTTAAATCTCTTTACAGAACAATTATAAATTATTGGAGAAAATTACTTATAAAAATCATTCTAAAGAAAGTCTTCATTTTGTAACATTGAGCAAATCTAATTAAATAGGAAATTATATACTCCATTTATAGGAAGAGACAGGACAGCCCTATTCCACTTGGAGTCAGAATAAGAAATTTGGTTTATGGCGGCTGGGTGCCCTTGGCTCAAGGGTTAGAACATGGGCCCTGTGCACTGGGGTTGGTGGGTTCAAACTGACCTGGTCCTGTTAAACAAAACAAACAAACAAACAAAAAGAAATTCGGTTTAGATAATGCTGTTGCCACCTCTTGGCAAAATTGGGAATGACAAGTGGTATTTTCAAAATCAGATGCCCATTGGACAGTAGTAGTTGTTGCAGGAGAATCCATGGGTGGATGGCAACATCAGGGAGCAAAAGTTCAAGGAGAAAAACTCAGCAGGATATTTGTATCGTCTCAAGTAGCTCCTTCAATATACACAAGGGGGGAAATAATAACTTTCAGGGGTGATACCGTCTTAGCCAAGTGACCGACACCCCCAGAGCTATCGACATCACACGTCCCAGATGGGACGCGAGGGGCAGGGCACACAGCACTTCCATGTTCTTGCCAGAAATACCTCACGTCACTCTAATCGTGAGAAAACATCTGGCCAACCAGACTGAGGGGCAGTCTACAAAACACCTGGCCAGGATTCTTCAAAAGTAATGAAAGACGGGAAAGGCTGAGAGGCTGTCACAGATTAAAGCAGAATGAGGAGACGTGACAATTAAACACAGACTGGGACCCTGAGTGGGAATCTGGAACAAGAGCACAGCGGGGAGCAAGGGGGGTTCCGTGTCTGTGGCTGAGTTCAGAGTCGGCGCCACTGCCAATTCCTGGTTTGGGGAAGAGGAGGCCATTTTTGCAGTTTTCTGTAAGTCAAATTATTCCAAATACCAAGTCTAAAAAAACCCAAATGCTAAAATGCAAGTAAATTCTCTTTCACTCTCAGAAACACAAGACTGTATTTTCTCACATACTTACATGACTTGTTTATATTTGAGAAGCACTCAAAATGTTTGTATTTGGTATACAGAAACTCCCCCTTTGAAAACATTGCTTCTTGTTCATGATGACGTCATAAACTGTTCCTACTGATTCAAATTTAATATGAGTTGTCCTTTTCAAAATCTCACCCTCGTCCATGAAAAATACCCTCCACTCCGAAGAAAAGATCTAGATTTACACTGTTGTCCTGCCCTTGTCTGGCAAGGAAGGGGAAGGCACGTGAAACCACCCCTCATGGAAGGACATTTTTTCCCTGTTAGTTATTTTATTAACCAAGTCAACAAATAATTATGAAATACACGCTATTCTTTAGTGCTGTGCCTTGTACAAAGCATCAGGCTGAAGCCTGTCCCAGGAAGCCCACCATCGAGTGGGGAGAGAGCACACACACAAGTGATGATTACACAAAGCAGAATCGAATTAAACGCCAAACTTAGCTGCCAGAAATCAAAGACTTCTCTGAGCTAGGAGACACGAATGCAGCTGTGGCTGGAGAACAGAAGCCGAAAACACAAATATGTCAGTCTCAGAGGGAACTGTGTCAGCCTGACTGCAATCCTCACTGGCTGCGGGGCCCCCAGGAAGTACTTTATTACCTGAAAATCGCACTTTCTGCATCTGTGCCATGGGGATGATAATGGAATGTGTACCCTCACCAGCCTGGTCTGAGGGTGAAATGAACTTATTCACATGAAGGGCTTTGCACAGTGTCTTGTAGGTGAAGACACTCAAGGTGAAGAAAGTTGGAAAAAGAAATTGGAAAGAAAGTTGGAGAAAGAGGGAACGGAGCTCTAGGCAGAGAGTTAAGGAAGTCTGAGCTGGTGCTTCTGAGGCCCGTGGTTTGTAAGTGACGTGAGCTCTTCCCAGGCTCTGCCCGCCGGGCGGCTGGTGATGCTCCCTCACTAAAGAAAGACCCAGGGGTCTTGGTGGTTTTTTTGTTGTGGCTTCATCTGTCATCAGCAGAGCCAGATGAGCACTTAGATTTTCTCCCGGCATTCATTCATTCATGCATTCATTCGTTCATTCATTGGTCACACCACTAGGGAGCACCTCCTAAGCCAGGCATCTTTTCTCACTGGCGGCTTTAAGCTGACTACACCATACAACCTGCATCAGCGGCGTGAAGGACCAGAAGGCTCTTCCCCACCTGGCACAGCCCTCTGTTCAGGTGGCTTACCTGGAGCTGGTTGGCTGTGGAGAGCCTGGGAGGGTGGTTTGGGTGCCAGGGCTGTAGTGTGATTCACCCCATTTTCTGCTGGAGTCGTCCTGGCCTCACTCGGAGCCTCTGATGGTGTTTCCCCAGGATCAGCCTAAAATCACAAATATCCTTTCATTTTCCACATTTCTTATTGTTTTTGTATTGTCGTTCTACACTGATCAGGCTGCATTTTATACCATTTTCACAACTCATTCGGAGTTTGAAATATCAAATTTGAAACTGGAAAGTAGTGTAAAAACAGCACACAGTTGAACCCCGATGGTAGTAGGTTCATTATATTAAAGGCTCAGATGTTTACACCAACCTCTATCTCTGCCCTCTGGTAATGTCCCCACCCCCCCACCACCACTGACTCTGGACTTGAGCATGTGATTTGCTTCGATTAAAGGAGAGAGTAGCAGGGCGGTGCCTGTGGCTCAAAGGAGTAGGGCGCTGGTCCCATATGCCGGAGGTGGCGGGTTCAAACCCAGCTCTGGCCAAAAACTGAAAAAAAGAAGAGAGAGAGAGAGTAGCAATCTCGATGCAAAAGGCCCTTGAGAATGTTTCTGCTCTTCCTAGATCCCTGCTGTAGCAGTGGAGGATGAGAGACCTTGAGGAGGAGGGTGGAGTCATCTTGGCCAAGGACGTCATAGACCAGCCAGCCCCGGGCTAAGCACATACTTGAGTGACTCCAGCTATGATGAGCTGAGCTGGTCTAAAAACTGCCAAGCCGAGAAGATAACTCATGTGGAATAATAAAAAGTTGATGTAATAAGCCCTTAAATTTGGGGGCTGTTTGTTTTTTAGCAAGAGCTAATTGATTTGGTGAATAAGAGCACAGATATTGACGCCAGACCTGCCTGGGTTCAAATTCTGTCCCTGTCACTTAACTAGCAGTGTGACATTGGGTAGATCACTTACCCTCTGTGCCTCAGTTTCCTTCTTCTTTGTAGCTGAGGAGAGGTATGTGCTGGGGACCATACGTCATCTATCTTGTGAGATTGGTCAGTGGCTCAGATAAATTCATATTTACTTAATTTCAGGTTGATGTGAGGGTGCAAACACTAGGTTACAGTATTTGCATTTGTTAGGTAGAGCCTCTCATAAGTTAATATTTATGAAATGCTTAGAATTGTTCCTGGCACAGAGTAAATAAGTGGGTGGTAAATCATGTGAAATTTGTTAGAGTATGGAGTCACTTGTGTTTAAAAAAAAAAAAGTAAAAAGACGTGACACACAGAGCCAGGGAAGGCCATAAAGAAGGGGTCTCAGGTATAAACGCCCAGTAACAAGATCTATCATAAAAGATCCTGCAAAGCCCACAGGCTCACACCACGGCTATCACAACCTAACATGCCCACAGTCTCACTCCACGGCTGTCACAACCTAACACAGAAAAATACTTCTGTGGGGACGTTCCTGGCAACTGCCCGTCCAACCTTGGCCTGGTGTCACCTTTGTGATTGGTGCTTAAGGTCAAGAATAATTACTTCAAAAATATCACGCGATCTTCCTCATTTTTCCTTTATAAACCGTTGTCTTCCTTTGCCTCCATGAATATGCACATTCAAGGTCGGCCCACTAGTCCCAGAAAAAGTGCTACACATCTCACTGCCAAATATCACCACGGCGACCTTGGAGTTCCCCCCTCGGGAAGCTGTGCACCAACGCCGGTGCCTAATCCAGGGGTTCTCAACCTTCCTAATGCCTCCACCCTTGAATACAGTCCCTCATGCTGTGGTGACCCCCAACCATAAAATTATTTTCGTTGCTACATCGTAACTAACATTTTGCTACTGTTATGAATCGTAATGTAAATATCTGATATGCAGATGCATTTAGGCAGCCCCTGTGAAGGGTTGTTCGACCCCCACAGGGGTCGCGACCCACAGGTTGAGAACCACTGGCCTACTCCATCCTTTTAAGCACATTTCCTAGGATAAGTTTGCAAACTTAATTGTCCAACTTTGTAGTTTACTATGGCATGTGTACTCCCATTGAAATACCCTGTTACTAAATAAATATTGTTTTCTTTTAGAATCTCTCTATTATTTAGGTTGACATAAAATAAATCAAATCAAACATTGAAGTTTGTGCAATACTACCAAGGCATAATAATAAATGCATTGAAATTTAGGAAATCTCCACTCCTCATCTTCCAGCAGCCACTCCACTGTTCTATAGAGTATACACTTAATAAATATTTGTGGAACAAATGCATAATCCTTATAAAATAATTGCCTCAGTAGTTGATCTGCAATGCTCTAGATCAGGCGTCCTCAAACTATGGCCCACAGGCCACATGCGGCCCACTGAGGACATTTATCTGGCCCACTGGGTGTTTTTGCTGCCGATGCCTGTCCTACTTAGCCGCTGACTCGTCCCAGGGCCCGCAGTCCGGCCCTCCAGCGGTCTGAGGGACAGTGAACTGGCCCCCTGTTTAAAAGGTTTGAGGACCCCTGCTCTACAATGATGCTCCGTGTGTGTTCACAAGAGTTGTCTTCCAAGTCCACACCAGGGATTAGTGAAGGTGAGTTGACCCCAGTGTTGTGCTTTGTTACACGTTTAAAAAATACCCCAGGCAGTCTATTTTCTGGAAGTCCTCTGGAGGTCCACATTGTGGCATTTTGGCATGTCATTACAGATTGCAGATTGTCATATAATAGTATTTTTATGAAAAGAAGGATAAGAGTGAAGACGGTAAGACTGATTATCATAAATGGCTTTTAATCTATTCTCTACATCATCTTTAAAACATCTTCACAAATTGCTTTAAGCGATGGCAGAACTTTTCTTTTTTTTGAGACAGACTTTCTTTTTTTTCACTGTTGCCCTGGGCAGAGTACCATGGTGTCATAACTCACAGCAACATCAATCTCTTGGGCTCAAGTGATCTGACGTAGCTAGGATTACCGGTGCCTGCCATATCACCTGGCTAGTTTTTCTAATTTTAGTAGAGATAGGGGTCTCGCTTTTGCTCAGGTTGGTCTCGAACTTCTGAACTCAAGCGATCCACCCTCCTTAGTCTCCGAGAGTGCTAGGATTACAGGCATGAGGCTCCACGTTCAGCTGAATTATTTGTTAACTCAACAAATCATCTCTGCTTGGCCTGGCACAGTGGATCATGCCTGTAAACCTAGCACTCTGGGAGCCTGAGGCAAGAGTATTTCTTGAGCTCAGGAGTTAAAGACCAGCCTGAGCAAGAGTGAAATATGTGTCTCCTAAAAATAGAAAAATTAGCAGGGTGTTGTGGTGGGTGCCTGTGGTCCCAACTACTCAGGAGGCTGAGGCAGGAGGATGGCTTGAGCCTAGGAGTTGAAGTTATTGTGAGTTAGGCTGAGGCCATGATACTCTAGCCCAGGTTTCTTTCCATCTTAAGAAAAGAAAAAAAAAATCCCTACTTATTCTTCATGGCCTGTCCAGTGCTGGATGAGCCCAGGAACCAATGGCTGGTTCTCAAGTGCAGGAAACAGGAGGGTGAACAAGTACCCCAGGCAGCCTGTGTGGCTCACTCTGAGAGTCTTTTGAAAAATGGCTACTTCCAATGGGTAAGTTCTGGTCTGGCTGTGCTATTTACTTAAATCCATCAGGAAAATTCCCCCTGGCATCACATGCAAAAGGGAAGGATTGTATATTTTTTGCTCAAGACACTGCAAACTGGAGGCTCACGGTCCAGATGGAGGACACGGGTGCATTCTCTTTGGGTCACCTGATGTTGACAAATTTTTTATTTCAGAATTTTATGGGGGTACAAATGTTTTGGGTATATACATTGCTTTTGTACTGTTAGGGTCAAGGTTATAACTGTGTCCATAAATTAAGGTGATTTTACATTTTAAAAATGAATTTCTTGCTTCCTTTAAAACACTACAGATTTGCCAACGTGGGGCCTGAATACCCACACTAGGTGGTCCTCTGCCTTGAACACAGTAGGGGAAAAGCTTCTGGGCTTCCTAGATGAAGAGGATGCCCATGGGTACCAAATTCAGCTGCTCTGGAAGTAGGGCAGGAAGGGGCCCCGCCCCACAGGCCTTTATTCTTTCCCCTGGACATCTAGTTGCATTTCTAGAACCATGGAGGGAATGAATCGGATTCTTCCCAAAGCAACAACTGACAGAAGTTAGCTTTCTGGAAAAGGAGAAAAAGAAAATTGGATAAAGGAAAGCATAGAAGTGATGGAAACCAGCTTCTGTGAATGCGGCTTCTTGTTGTTAGCTCGAATTAGAGTCTTGAGGCATCACGCTGGAGATGTACTCCAAATGGATCTAGCAAGCTGATTTCACCCTTGTATTGGGTCGGCATATATTCTATGATGTTGTATGCCCTCGGGAAACCAAGTTCAATGGTCAATTTGAGTCAAGTCGGAAGGAAAAAACAAATCTCTGCTACTAAGGACAAGCAAAACAAAGCCTTTATCTTCCCCAAACTGACATAGTGTATAAATTCGAAGATTATTTTAAAAACCAGATAAATGTTGAGTGGTACATCAGGCAAATGCTTTATGGTTTCGCCTAAAAATGAAGGAGCCACCCAGAGTTGGCTTTGGAGGAATGCTCAGTCCAGGGGTCACCCCTGGCGATGCCTGCAGGCAGAGTGGGCGTCAGGTCGTTCATGGCAATGACAGAAGTGAGTGGAATTGATTAGATTTAATGCAACAAGGCAAAGGTAGGCCACGTGCAGAACGAGAGAAAGAGTAGTCAGTGCTCAGCGTCAGGCCAATTGCTGCCTGGGTCTCAGGAAAAGCTGAAAAATCACACTTGGTGCGAATTCTCCCAATGTCAAATCACCAAGAGGCCGAACCAAGCACAATTTCAGACTATATTTGGCCCAGAAGGTGCCCATGTGCACCTTCTGCTTGGAGGAGCAGCACTGGACTAGAATTCTGAGATTGTTTTCAGGGTAAGTCATGCATCCTTAGCTTCACTGAAGGGACAGGGGTGTGCTGGGAGTGTAGTGGGCCAGGGGCCAGTAAGGAGGACAGTAAATTCTGTGCTAAGACACTGTCAGGGCTCTCATGTGATTTTCTGGAGACAAATATGATATATCAGTTTAGTGAGCGTCTGTGTATGTTCAAAAAATTTTTGCTAAGGGCAGTCAGCAGATACAAATTTT